TTCAAGAGAATATTCGTGAGAATTATAATACGTCCATTTAAAAACATTTTTTCTAAATTAACCAATTTTTCTGTCTCGTGACATTCGTCCATTTTGTTGGATAATCGTTTGCCGATCGCAATAGCGACTTCATTTTCTCTTGGTCTGTAAAAAGCTTTAGAAATTCGACATAATTGTAAGCGAATATTCGTGAGAATTATAATACGTCCATTATACAACATTTTTTCTAAATTAACCAATTTTTCTGTCTCGTGACATTCGTCCATTTTGTTGGATAATCGTTTGCCGATCGCAATAGCGACTTCATTTTCTCTTGGTCTGTAAAAAGCTTTAGAAATTCGACATAATTGTAAGCGAATATTCGTGAGAATTATAATACGTCCATTATACAACATTTTTTCTAAATTAACCAATTTTTCTGTCTCGTTGACATTCGTCCATTTTGTTGGATAATCATTCGCCGATGCAATAGTGACTCTATTTTCACTTAGTCTAGTGCATTCTGACGTATTTCTGAAGAAAGCTTGGTAATTGCTACACAATTGCAAGCGAATATTCGTGATAATTATAATATATCCATTTCAAAAAATTTCTTCTAAATTAATCAATTTTTTCTGTCTCCTGTCATTCGTCCATTTTGGATAATCTTTCGCCGATCACAATAGCGACTCTATTTTTACTTGGTCTGGTGAAAGCTTTGGAAGTTCGACATAATTGCAAGCGAATATTCGTGAGAATTATAATACGTCCATTTCAAAAAATTTTTTCTAAATTAACCAGTTTTTCTGTCTCGTGACATTCGTCCATTTTGTTGGATAATCATTCGCCGATGCAGTAGTGACTCCATTTTCACTTACAATTAGTCTAGTGCATTCTGACGTATTTCTGAAGAAAGCTTGGTAATTGCTACACAATTGCAAACGAATATTCGTGATAATTATAATATATCCATTTCAAAAAATTTCTTCTAAATTAATCAATTTTTCTGTCTCCTGTCATTCGTCCATTTTCTATAATCGATCACCGATGCAGTAGCGACTCCATTTTCACTTGATCTGGTACATTCTGACGTATTTCTATAGCAAGCTTTGGTAACTCCTACATAATTGCAAACAAATATTCGTGAGAATTAAGATACGTCCAGTTCGACGATTTTCTTCTAAATTAATTCATTCTTCTGCCTCTCGCTATTTTTCTCGTTCGAATAATCATTCTTTATATAACATCTTCCCGAAGAAAATATGTCCGCCGAAATAACCAGAAACGAATATCGATGGAAATAAGGATATTCATCCACTTTGGATGAATTTTCCTGCGAATTTAACGACACCGAGATTAATTAATTTCTCCATTCCGCGTCATTTTTCTGCCGAATGATTGGCCACTGTTCGAAATGACGAATCGATTTCCGGCCGGGGGATGTAAATCGCGGGAAATTGAAACGCTGTGCCTCGGTCGATCGAGTCATCTGGTTAACTGTCCGCGTGGAAATGGCATTTAACAACGTTCCCCATGGTTTATCGTTTATGGCGAAACGCGTGCACTCTGTTTCGCGCCCTGTCTCCCGCGATTTTCCCGCTCGTCGAATATTCCCCGACGCGCGAGTAGTATAGGAGCACGTTTGCGACGGCGGACGAGCAACGTCGGAGGTGAAATAATTTCTGCACGACTCCGGAGGGAAAAGGCGAATCGGTTTTTAACGGAAACGTGGAAGTTCGATTCGGTAGGGTCGAATGGTAAAAATTTCACGGGGTGGAAGTTCGCGAAGGGATTAAAATATTCAAAAGTTCGAAATGGGAAGTCGGGAAGTTCCGTGAGAAACGGCGAAGTTGCGAGAGCTTACTAAGGGACGTAAATCTTCCAACCGGTCGAGTTAGTCGCAAGAATTTCCAACGGCAACAAATTCGCATTTTTGCGACGCTGATGGTCGATAAAGTGCGCTCCCGTCGTGATATAAGAATTTTATGTAAATTTTCGGCGAAATAGTTTTCGGATATGCGAAGTCGAATGAATTTTTCTCGGGGATACGAATTTTCCAGGCGAGGTCAGTCGAATTGGACGAATCATTATTGACAATTTTTCATCCCTTAACCCTTAACTACTGACAGTTGATTTCTCGATATTTGTATCGAATACTAAGTTTATTAAATTCGAGATTAAAATGTACCGGTGTTGTATAGTTAGAACATTAATATCGTATTCATTTTTGTACAAAAAGAAAATTCTCCAGCAATTTACAGAAAAATATTTCAGAATGTATTGAAGCAAGAGAGAAAATATCGACTATGCGAGAAAGCATGAATATTTAAGTGTGGTAGTTTAAATTGTCTAGTATCCTCTAACATATCTCCACTTTATAACAGAATCTTACAATATTTTAAAAATATTCCAATAATTTTTCAGCAACTTTCATTCTTTCTTTCATCTTTCATATATTGGTCCCTGTAACTTTAATATAACAAAGTGGATGACCAAATAGACTGAATTTACATATAAATAGGTATCGACAGGGTTGCATTTGAGTAACTTCCTTTATCACGCGATCTCATAGTGATAACAAAAATTGCTGATAACCCAATAAGAATTTAATTCGTCAATCAGAAAAATAATATCTCGCAAACTTATAATAAGATCCAATTTTTCCAAATATTCTAAAACGCGAGAAGAAATTCGGAATAAAACTACCCCATTATTCCACAGGGGTTAATACTATCCAAACCACGCCATCTAGCCTACCTCTAAAATCAAGCAAAATGCAACCTCCATCTAGACCGGTCTAAAATTCGAAATTTCCTTTAAATACCTCGAAATTTACCCTCGTCGTGCAATTAACCACCCTCCGCTCTCCCCCACCGCAGACCGATTAATTAACGAAACGCAGAGAAATCGTGGCTCTCGATTATTCCAGGGAATTCTCCACGGGGCAATTCAATTTCCTCCCATCGATTCGATTATAGTCCTCGGGGCGAAACGAGTTACGCTGTTTCTTGGACAGAGGGTTGGAGGAGGGAAACAGCGATTCTTCGGCCGCGTATTACGCGAGGAACACGGTAACTTTGCACTCTCGTCTTTCGTTCTTCGGCAGCAGAGGCCGTATTTGATTTGGCTTTAATACGATTTCTCAGCCACGGCGACAGTCTGGATATACGTAACTGTTTCTGGCAGGGGCGAGACGAGAGGAAGTTGATTATCGCCACCCTCTCGCGTCTCTGCCACTCGGTTGCGCGAAATTAATTTCTTCGACAGAGGAATACGCTTCTTTCACGGTCGAATCCGCTTGGAAAGAGGCTGCGTCGCTTTGAAACGGATTCGTTTCGTTTTTCTGCAATCACAGGGTCGTTGTCCATCTTGTCGGTGTCGTTTAGGGAAAGGAATGGAGATTTATGTGGCGTGCTAGTCCGTTTGGTAATTTCGAGGAAGGTGTGAGCGCGTTTGGATCACTCGGTTGTCCAAAATGTCCCTGTTCATGGCACTCGAAGCTTCGATCGTGCAATTTCTCCAACACACCTGGTCTTTACGTATTCGAAGCGATCGCACAACACGTATGGCACCACACACGAGCACACACAGCACACATGTACCCTATTCGATCCAAAGTTCCTGATCCCTTTCCCGATATCCACGTGTTCTAACCTCCTTCTCATATTTTAATTTTCTTTTTTCTCGTACACGCACCTCTCGGTACAAGCAAGAGTCTTTAATGATATGACGATGACCATGATGACATGACACGATATGATATGATATGATAATGAGATGATTAATGTGACCATGACCATGATTTCTTACCATGATTTTATATTTACTTATTTGTTGCACGTTGTTTGGTGCGTCTCCGTAAGCAGTATGACGCGCTCGCAGACTCTCTGGCAAACCGACATTTCGGCGGAAGTATAGTGCTTTCTAACCATCCTTTTCACGCGATTTGGTTGGTCTTTTTGACGAGTGCTCTCGGTCCTTTGGCGCCCTTCTTACGTCTCTCTTCGTGCGAATATTTTATCAACTCGCCGGTTATTCCTAATTTATTTTTATTATTTTTCTTTTAATATAAAGGGATATTTTTAATCGTTTCTAAATTGTCCTCGAAATGATACCGGTCTCTTGAATATTTCGCAGTATTTTTATATTTATACGGTATAAATTTAATCGGGAGAAAATTGTTTATTTCCATCGCCGTTTAAGGACTTTTAGTCTCGGGTTTCGAGGAATCGCGATAGATATTAGTATAATTTAAAGAACCTACCGAGTTGTCTCGGATTTTCGCGATACATAGGGGTTCGCGACGCGCTTTGGCGCCGCCACGGGACCGGAGAGGCACCGAAAGGAATTCCGCGAAACTTTCGTGCCCCTCGGCCGCGTCTCGAGAGAGGATCTCGAGAATTAATTAGCGGCAGACGGCCATTGTGCATCCGAGGAATAAACGGAAGAATAGGTTTGAGAGTAAAAGGACGATGAAGAGGGCCGCTGGATGAGAAAGGGTGGGATCGAGTGCGCGAAAGGGCGAGGAAAGGGAACGCAGGAAACTCGACGGCTGCGTTCCGCGACGGTCTCGATTCGTTGGCGAATTCTTGAATGAAAAGGTGATCGAACCTTCGCGAATTCGATGTGGACGCGCGCGGAAAGGTTTCCCGCGCGAAATGCACGCGGAGCACCCCCACAAAAATCGCACTCGTTGGCTTCCAGGCCGCCTGAAAATGGCGGCCGTCGCGTCGGCCTTTTCTCTCACCTTTCTTTCGATCTTTTGCGCTCGTCTTCTGTCTTCTTTTATCTTTTTATATATATACATATTTTTTTTCTTTACTACTTTTCTATTCTTCTCGTTGTCTTCCTCTTGATTTTTCATCACCGTTTGTTTTTTTCTCTTTTTTATCAGACGACACAGATTCAAGTCTGTACAAGACACGCACGAAATGTCGGGCCTGCCAGTCGGCTGTTTGCCGAGCGCTGGCAGTCTGTAAGTTGAGTTTAATGCATGTTGTTTTGTCTGTCCTTGCATGCAGGGATTCGGTTTTGTAACATTCGCAAATAGTGCTGACGCGGACCGGGCACGTGAGAGGCTACACGGCACCGTGGTTGAGGGCAGAAAGATTGAGGTGTGCATGAACATTCTTATACTTATATATATATATACATACATATATATATGTATACATCGCCATTAATTCATTTATATACACGTGTTGTACTTCTTTGCAGGTGCACGCGAGAAGCGCCAGCGAGTCACCCTCGCTCGCGCTTCTCGCTCGATTAATCAACAGGCGACCAGCGTTCGCTTGTATCGATCTTCCTTTTCTTTTTCCTTTTTTTTTCTCTTTTTTCTTTTTTTTTTTTCTTGTAGCTAACAATACTACAACGACAAACGCTGCTTCTAATTGAATTTCTAAAACGTTGGTCGCCTAATTGAGACTGATCTTAGATATTAAGGAACGCGCGGATCGGATCGTGCTCGTAAACGACACAGCCATTTTCGCGCATAAAATATATAGAGCTAGCGAAAGACATTTCACGTTTACCAGCACGAGCCACGCGCCTAATTTTAAGCGAGAAAATCGGTTCCAACCGCGAGGCGTCGAACCGTCGAATTTTCACGGAGCCATCGGTCCTTTCTTCGGGTCTGCTGATATCATTTCGACGCGGTTGATCGAGAATCGAGCGCGAGATCGAGACGTGAACGAGCCAGGAAGCTCGAGCAGGGTCAATCCAGCCGAACCACTCGAAACCCGAGTGCTGTTGGTCGATTGGCACTCGGCGATCGTTGGACAGCGTCGAGAGATTCGCGATCCTGACTCTCGGAGTGACTCGGACATTTCTGCACGGATCCGAACTCGTATAGCCGGTCGAAAATACCCACTCGTCGCGAATTACGTTCCTTTGCACGGATCTCTTTGACAATTAAATCGGATCACGATGATTCGATGACCATCGGCTCCGTTAAAATTAATCGCCAGGCAGCGGAGCGTGGCAATGGCGTCCGAGAGTGACGCGTTAATCGATTGAGGGAAAGATCGAGTTAAATATCTGCTCGTCGATCGACGGAAGCTGGTTTATCGTTCTTGCGAACGTGACGTCTGGCACAGTGTCGATATCCAGCAATAGCAACTTAATCTGATTGGATAACGCGATTAATCGAGCGGCTGCAATGTTGCTGCGATGCTGCGAACCTGTTTGGCACCGCGGCGCAGCCAGAATCGTTGCATCACTGTCTCTTCCACGCTTTATGAGCCAACTTATTTATAGATAAATTAGCATCTGCGAATTGATTAGTGAAATTCGCGACGGTGATCGTTCTCCATTTTCCCTGTTTCAACGAGTACTTAGGGAACAGGGAACTTTGATTAAAGTTATTGTAAATGGATTATAAATTATCGAGAAGATTATATTTTCGAAGATTATTAGTAATTTTACTCGTGGATAGAGATTTTCTAAAAGTTGACACGAGAAGATCGCATCGATTAAGATTCCAAAGGAGCTGTTATTAACCCTTTGCACTCGACGATTTTTTCGCTAGAGAAAAATAGAAATTCAAAGATTCTCTACTAAAACATTGACGATACTTTTTTGAGCAGTAAATGAAGAATTATATAATAACAGAATTGTAGAATTATTTGATTTCGACACCTCGCACACTTACATTACATTAAATTTGATATATTAATTAATATCGATCTTCCAAATTTTATGAAATTGTGACTGAAGCTTACCTCTCGAGTGCAAAGGGTTAATTTTCTTCGCGTTTTAGTCGCAGATTTGTAAATTGCGAAGCTCCGCCAAAGATGTAGATTGCCAATCACTTTATATTCATAGACAAATGAATTTTCACAAATTAATTACAAAAATTCGCGTCGATAAAATTCAAAATAATTACAATTAATTTTCTATAAACTCTAATAGTATATCGATTTAAAAATTGTCACCGATCTTTTTCACGTTTTATTCGTAAATGTATAAATTCCAGAGCTTTATCAGAGATTAATTACAATTCGATTTAAACGTCCAGGAAAATTAAATTTTAGACATTTCGATCACTAGAAATTGTACGAATATACCGAAATTACGTCAAATTTTAATCGAAGTAAGGAACCCAAGAAATATCACTCAAATCTCTTGGAACCTCGCTGAAACTCAGTCAAAAATTCGTAATCAATCGACTCACGTAAAACGTATATATTTCCAAAAGCCACGTATAACTGAAGGGACCGAAATTTCTATCAAAGACAGTCATGCTTCCACAACGATTCGTCACCTAAATTAATATACTCGATTAAAACCAACTCCGTCGATCGAACCAAATAAATTCGACCAATGTTCTATCAACCGTTCAACTCGCGTCGATTCTTTCCCAGCGTTTGCAGATTCCCGCGTTCTCATGGTCGCCATTGGCATGCCGCGTCGCGACGCCTCTAGAACCGAGACGCGAGGCCGCGCGACTCGCGCGGACGCAGCCGGTAATCCGCTGCTTCTACTCGCGCGAGTGGCGCGGCTCGCGCGTAGGCGACGATGTTGAAGGGGTGGACGCGCTCGGGACAACTCCGTAACGATCTTCTCGACGAACCGAAAAGACCATTGAGAAAAGAAAAAAGTAACAAGAACCCGCACATAAGAACCATAATAAAAAGCAAGCAAAAGAAAGAAAGAACGGAAGTGCAGGGACACGAATATAAATAGAAATGTGAGAAAGATAGAACGGAAAAGAAGCGAGGAGAAAAGGGGACAAAGATGGCGCGTGCACGCATGCGCGGCACGCTAAAGTTGGTCAGCGAACTGTCGAGGATGTGCGCTGGCTGTCAGCGAGAGTCAGCGAGATAACGCGAGGAAACGAAAGAAAACAAGTGTCTGACTCGAGGTCTCTTTGTTGTCCCCATATAGAGCCGTTCTGCGCGACACACACGGACAGACGATTCGAGGCGCGCGCGGGAAACGATAGTAGAGATCGGATAGGACGTGAGACGAGTACGAAAGATAACGTGGCCAGGCTAGAGAACCCGAGAGGGCCGACAGAGGTACATACGGAGATGTTTGAGAGAGCGAGCAAAGAGATACGAGAAGCGAACGAAAGAAAGAGAGATAATATGTTAGAAAGAGAGCGAAGGAAAGAGATAGAAAAGAGAGAGAGAGATTTGAGAAATTTACGGGCAAACGCCGAGCGAGAGAGGGACACTGAGGAGGCCGGTCGAAAAACGATGCTCGAAGTGTCCGAAAAGGTAAGGAAACCAGAGCGCGTGCGTCGAGAAACGAATAGCAAAACTCTGACCAGCGACGAGAGATATCGCCTCGCACTGCCCGCTCTCTCACCCCCCGAAAACACACACGGCAGTCGCACGAACGATTTTTCCCCATGGATCGCGGTACAAATCTCTCGCCAATCTCGCGATCACCCGTTCCGTTCGTTCGCGTACCGTTCACGGTGCCTGCATCCGTGTGCACCCAGTGCCCGAGCTTCCCTAAACTCTGCCAATCTCGAAATTTACAATTCCCCCCTTTCTTTCTTCATTTTTCCAGAATTTTTCCCGGTCTTTTTCCGGATTTTTCCGCCGCCCTTTTTCGATTTTTCCCGGTTCGATAGCCCCGAGTTTTCGTTCTTCGTTTCTATTACCGTTTATCGGGAGCCATAGAAGTATAGAACCATCGCGAATGTTGACTTTTTCGTCGATCTGAATAATAAAACGACGATTACCGGTACGGTTCCGGAGGAATCGATGAGTCGACGCGGAATAGGGGTGAACGGAAATAGACCCAGGCTCTATAGCAACATCCGAGAGTATCGACGGGGGACAAGCCCGAATTCGAGATCAGGAGATTAAATTTTCAGACGTTCCTTTTTCCCAGGGCGCTGCGATCGAACATTGGCCTAGGATCGACCCGAGCCATTTTTGACCAAGACTCGGCGAGTCTCCGTGGAAACGAATGTATCTAGTCGGGAATAAAGGCGAATGAAGTTCGAAATTCGTGGTTAAATTTGCAATAGCTATCGGGAAGCGAGTAGATAGTCCGTGGTGCAAATAGGAACTATTTATCGCCATTTTGATCCATTTTAATCCGCCCTTCCGATCCTCGATTCTGTTCTCTTTCAGCCCTATTTTTTGGTCCGTTTCTTGCGGACAGGAAAATGCTCTGAATCGTGGAAAATGAAGGGAGAGAAGCGAATTTCCACGAGTCGTTCGAATGTCGTTCGATAAATCGTCGAACGGGGAAAAAATTTGGCAGCGTTCGCAAAACTACGGAAGCTCGGGCACGACAAACATTTGCTCGGACCTTTTTGCAACGATTCGTGTTCCACGCTCGTAGGATCAGTTTCCCGCGGTTCGTTTCGCGTTTTCCAGCGGGAGGAAAAAGCGTTCTTTTGGCAATTATCGCGATATTAATTTCTGCTTAATTTCTGGCCGTCGCGATGAACGAGCGCGCGATGGCGCGAGTACTTTCGCAGCTGGTGGATCCAAGCGAGATTTTTTCCCTCGCGAGGAAAATCTCTGTGCTCCTCTGTCGTGTGTCGCTGAGCGTGAGTTTTCCCTACTGGTGGTTTAAGAGCTTTGGAAAATTCCGATGGAGGACGGAGAGGATTGGAAAACTGCGGAAGCAATTTATGACAAATTCGCGATAAATTTGCGAGAAAATTCGCGATAAATTCGCGATAAGTTTGCGATAAATTTCGAATAAATTCTCGGGCAAATTGGGTCCGACGAAGGGCAGAGAAATCGCGTGTCTTGGCAGCGAAGGGCGCAATCGCCGTTGAAAATAAAAATGTCGGCGCAGGGTAGCTCGCGTGAAATTAAACTTAACAAGTTTTAATGCCCAATTACGACGTTACACTTGCTTGGCCAGCGTGAGTTTTCCCGTTGAAGCTAGTGGTTTGAGGGTTTTGGAAAATTCCGATGGAGGACGGAGAGAATTGGAAAACTGCGGAAGAAATTTGCGATAAATTCGCGATAAGTTTACGATAAGCTTCGGATAAATTCTTGGACAATTTGGGCCTAACGAAGGGCAGAGAAGTCGCGAGTCTTGGCAGCGAAGGGCGCAATCGCCGTTGAAAATAAGAATGTCGGCGCAGGGTAGCTCGCGTCAAATTAAACTTAACAAGTTTTAATGCCCAATTACG